GTGTTGACAGGAGGGTCTGAAATGCCTAAGAAGTGAGCTAAAAGGTTTTAATGTCTGAAACCAGTCATGTTTTTGTAAATGTTTGTTTCTACAGATAAGTTGCAGTTAAATATTCTGCTGAAGTAGGCGTTTCAGTGTGATAAAGCTGTAGAATCAGACATATTTGGCTCTGTTCAGATGTTTCTTGTTAGACTAACTGAAGCCATGGAGAAGTCTACAGCAGGAAGCTGATTTTAACATAAAAGTTGAGCAGACTTATCTTATTTAAACAACCTCAGTTTGGAGCAATTGCTGGGTTTCAGTCATGTGACCTGGACGATGCGCAAAATTCAGATGGAGGGGCAGTAAGTGATTAGCACCGGTTCAAAACACAGTTGAAATGGATCACAGTGAGGATGCTAATGACCTAAATGGGCAAAAGGAGATATTGCCAAAAAATATATATGTACATTTAGGATATGATTCATATTGTCTTAATTTTAACTTGTCATATAATCTGGAGGATTTACCTGGTATTGAGGGCATYGATATAAACTATTTGGTGCTGCAGACCTTGTATTATACAACGAACCAGATGAAGGCTTTCAAAAGCCTCAAAGCTACAATTRTTTAGTTTCAGGTTGTGTCAAACATTTAGGATCCAAGGAAGCTTTAAATGACTGTCAACTTGTGACAAGCCTGGGTGAGTAGTGAGTTATTTTAAGTAATTAGTCTATGTTAACAATGCTAATGCTAATGAGTTAACCCCTTTTGTTCCAATGTGCTTAGATCTACCTGTAAATAATTTATTTAGCTTCTGTAAACCCAAATTCSAGGAACAGTCCAATAAAATATCTGAAAATATGATTTAAACGATACACTCCTTACTTGCAGCTCTTGCGTTGTCCGTTTCTACTCCTCTTGTTTTTAACCGTAGATTATGGATCCACTTTTGTTGTCCTTTTGTAAGTTTTTAAAAATTAACTGCCTTGTGAGGCATTAGTTTCCGAATACAAAAAAAACTTTTATATTTCTCCTGATTCGAATGGTTGCAGCAACCATACATGACACAGAATTTAGACATTTTGATGCTGAATCAACAGAAGGAAATGGGGCTGAGTTTACCTCCTGACCCCCAGCTGCATTTCGTGATGTTGATACTACATCCTCAGCAACGCAGCAATAGTTTAATTTTCACAGGACTGATGAGATAAAAGTAGATTTTTCTTCTAAAATTGATYCATTGGAATAACCATTTAAAGGTTTAATTGCAGCTTTTTAATTAGTTAAATTGTAGAAAACTGTTTTTTGACATGTGTTTTGCTCAGATTAGCCTTCATGAGCTCAGTGGTCCGATTCAAGCTAACCCACATTTGGTGACATTACCTGAACCACATCAGGAGGTATTCCAGAAAGGAAGTTATGGGAAAGACTGATTCCATGATAACAAAATCTAAGGAAAACTAATCCCCAACATGTTTTCACTAAGAATCTGAGTTTCTACCTGTTCTTTCCYACCTGCAACACACTGCCTGATATGAGCTTAATTCTAGCCACAAGCAGATTTACTCCCTGTCTGACATCAGGCCAAGAGCCTATCATCAGTTTGAATAATCTTCTTACCAAAAATCATTCTATGATTATAATATAACAAAAACAATATAAAAACATCAGAACAAATCTAAATCACACTGTGGAGAMAGTAGAAATTATTTTGCTGAATAACATCTCCAAAGTGAAACCTCAGTCACAAAATAGTAAGACAAATAATTCAAATGTAGTTTTCTCGAGTACAAAGAGTTTTAACATCTTTAAAGTAAACACATACTGCTTTTAAATCCTTCAATTGAGCTCTATATAAAGTGGAACTGCAATGCTTTTGTCTGAATTCCTCCTTATTGTAACTCCACAAGCCCCACCCCTTTTTTTTTAGGTGTGTCTCAAATCATCTCATTTTGAGGCTGTCTCTTTAAATCCAAGTGAGGTGCTTCACACCCCACCCCACTCCAGCTTCTAGACCGGTTCATTCTAGTTTGACAGAGGAGTTTATAACTATATGAGTAGGTCCTCTGGATAAGTTCTACTTTGTTGAAAAAAATGTTTTCTCTTCAACAGTCTTCAGTCTTTAAGACGTTACAGGAAACTTATCAGCAGAACTTGCACRTGGTGTAAAAACAAGTTAACAATGACRATCAGAACAGATCAAATGCAACACAACAAAGATTAACTCGTCCAGAGGACCTACTTGCTTTTTTTAAATAGATTTTTCTATCTGGATTATTGAGATTCATCAATTGGTCAAGTTCATTGTTTTATTGTTTAGATGTAAGAAAACACTGGAAACTGATTCATGATTTGAAGAGTTTTCATCACTGCTGTACCCACTGGAACATGTTTGTTTTTACAACACTGTGTGGCTCTGAGTAGCTCTGTGGGTTTCTGGAATMTGTACGTTTTGGTTTATGAACTGTTTAAAACATTTCATAAGCTAAGGCTTTATTAAAAGTCTTATCTGAACTGAAACCGTTGGTAAATATGTCGGTCATCTTCCTCTGGAATCAGCAACTCAAAACACAATTTTCCACTGTTCTTTCTACAGCAGCTGCTTGAAGAGCAAATGTTTGGACACTAAGCCTTGTCACTTCTATCCTGTCCATCTGTCTTTCTGTCCACTGTCCCTCCAGATCAACAACAAGGCTAATGTGGTCACCAGCCCCAAAGAGCCTGTCCCCACTCCTTCTCTGGTACACTGTCTGCCTTTCTGCATGGCTCTCTGTTCATCTTGGTCACATCACTGTGGAGTTTTCTGCCTCTCTTACTTTAAAGATTTATTTGGTTTGATCATTTCTCTGCTTTATTGGATGTCACATGGGCTGTCCACACATCACGTGCATCTCTGTATGTTGGCTACATTCTCCGTTGTTGTTGATGCTATATGTAATGGCACTGGGGCCATTATAAAAGAGCTCTTACTATAAACACTGGGTTTAGGTCTTTTTAAAGCATTTCCATTGTCCTGGTTTATCTATTATGTTAGTTAGCTGTAACTTGTATTACACTGTATACTCTCCTGCATTAAGATGTTTGTTTTTTTTATCAGATGTATGTCAATAAGAAAAGAAAAACTCTGTTCCCATTTTCAGTAAACTACACCAATCAGCCATAATATTATGATCACTGACAAGTGATGRAAGCATCAGAATCTGGCAGCTGTTGGGATAATCTAGACAACAAATTGTATCTTTTTAAAGTTAAGAACAAAAAATCTGTTTCCAAAGGCAAAACTGTGACTGTTAGACAGCTAGGCCATAGAAGTCTCACATCTGAAGCTTCTTTATGTTCCTGGTCTGAAGTGGTCAGGACTAGGGCTGCATGATATTTGAAAAACCTGACAGTGTGATTATTAAAATTTGTTTTCTAACTCTGCAATATATATATTGCATTATGAAAAAAATACAAGCATATTCAACAGTTGACCCGAGTAACACTTATGTCCTTTTGACGAACCTGCATCAGTCGCTACAAGTTTGTTTTCAGTCTGTATTTGAGTTATTCTTTTTTTTATTATGCTGGGACTTAAGAAGATTCTTTCTTCTATCATGTGCAAACWTGAACGTGTTATCTCTGTGACTTAGTTTCTGTTTATGTCACACTTTATTATTAGCATTTAAGCTAACCGTATTTTACCTCTTTTCCTCCAGTTTTCTGCAAAACTGCTCACCTTCCATGTTTTCATCAAGGTCCCCTTCTTCCTCCAAAGCTTGACAACACCTTTGGGACAATAATGGCAACAGTTTTTGGAGAAGCGTTACAGCAAAGTTTTAGCTTTTTAATTTAACACAGACGCCCACTTCAGCTGGCGAAGCAACCCATCAGAATAAAAGCAGCAACATGCAACCGTTTAGTGCAGYGACTTCAGGTCTTCAATGMTGTTCCTCATGACCCAGTGTCTTGCTTATTTCAGCTGTTTYTTTGCTTCAGCACACCTGATTCAAATAATTCAGTTACCTCTTCAAAATGTCATTAAGGCTGTCTAAATTTAGGGGCTGCATCCATCTAAGGCCAAATTTGTTGGCCCCTTACGTCATTGCACTGCGCTTAGGGCTGTCCAAATTTGAAGACTCTTCCAATGAGGTCCACAAATGTCTCCTTTTTCYCCCGATTTGAGGGACAGGTCTGCTGGATCTTTGTTGGCCCACTTTATCCCATGATGCATTTCGAGCCGACTGGAGATAAAGCAATTCTTAATAAAGCAAAAGACATCAAAATTCATAGCCACTTTTTTTTGGTCTTTGTGGTTGACAAAGGAAATGGTCCATCTAGACTGGGTAGGCTGGGTCCTTTGAAGGACCCAGCCCCTGAATTTGGACAAAGCCAGTGTTAAACAGAAGCTTGTCAATCAGAAATTCATTTCAGTCCCATCTGTTGAGGCAGGGAAACATCTAAAACATGGAGGACAGTGGGTCACAATGAACAGGGTTCAAGACCTGTGATTCAGTTCCTAGATAACATGTTAGTTTAATTTGCTCCTACATTGCAGAACAAGCAGTGGGACTATTATGCACACCTGCATTGTAATGATGATGCTCAAACAATATGTCATGCAGCTCTAGTCAGGACCKAACAGAAGAGGTCCCAGAGAGAAAAACTGATGAAAAACCTGACTCGAACTCAATAAGCTACCAAAAAAGCCCTGTTCTAGTAAAAGGGTTGCTGCTACTCACTGTATTGAATGTTGATGGTTTCATTACAACTGGTTCCATATGAAGCTGTGTAACCAAGCCCAGGTTGGCTTGTGTCCACTAACCTTTGGCGAACGTACCTATGATGGACAGGTAAGCATCCGAACTGAACCTTTAAACAGAAAGCTGGCCTTGTCTTTATCACAGACTTGTACATCAGAAGTGTCATTTATCTGACAATACTACTGGGTGCCAAAMTCATTGCTTTGTGTTCAAGAAACACTTAGGACTCAGATTCATATACAGAACCAATRAAAAGTATTTCCCTCTTGGAGAATAGTGATGGAGAYCATCAATACCRCTGAGAMCACTCTGAAGGAGTTACAAGCTTCARCAGGGAAAGACAGACACTTGTTGACCAGGTTCCTCACCTGTCTAAACTTYATGGGAGAGAGGCAAAGAGAAAACAACTGTTGGAGTGAAGGACTCCTTAAATCTGGACTATAGTTTGCCAAATGTCATGTGGAAGACTTTGCAGGAATCAGTTAACCCTTTATTTACAAGCCTTCCAAGACCAGTTGCGCTTCACAAACTATAGGAAAACCCTAGAGAACAATCTGCTTTCAGCAGACACTTCCACTGAGTGAAGACCTCAGGGCAGTCTCTGAACTCACTGAAGGGTTTATGTATCCTCTCTCTCGACACCCCTTAGGATCTCACACAAGGAGCTGTAAAGGGTCATTAGAGAGAGTGAACAGGGTTTTTCTCCTGGATCTCATTACCTAAATGACCTGACCTCGGATAAGTGGAAGAAGATAGTGATTTGTGGAACAGAAACTCCGATTGCTTTATTCTTTAGATTTGTAAGTGATAAAGCATTTGTAGGATGTTCTAGAAACAAGTCAGCTTCTTTTCTGTCCTGTTTCTCAGCCTGAAGGGCTTGGATCATGATATTGAAAACTTGATGTAATGTTCTAGCAGAAATGTCCTGAGTGGTTATTCTGTGTACCAAACTAGAGATGTCTGATTTTAGGCAGGTGGTCATACTGTTATGGCTAAGTGGTGTAAACTGCTCTCAGGTTTTAGTCTAGTAGGAAGGAGGGGGTCCCATGCACCTGAAAGATATTTTTTAACCTAACTTTTTGTACTCCTTAAGGTGTCTAGTAAATGGAGTGTGTTGGCCCCAGAGCAAATTATTGTCCCATATATGTTTTTATTGACCATCTTTAATGGCGGACCTGGATTTTCCATTGTGAATGATGAAAAGTTTAAATCAACATAGCTCCTAAACTATATATCCGACAGACACCATTCACCCCATTTTATTTTTGTCTTTTCATGGGTAATTGGTTGGAAAAAAGATTCCCATGATTATATCATGGCTGATGCATAATACCTGGAGTAAACACTAAAAAAAATGCTAAAATTCGCCTAAACTGAATCACAGGAACTTCTCCCCGTACACCCTATTGATATTTTTTTCAAAGCTTTGTATATTTCTAATCTTCAACATGCATAGTAAACACAATTTGGTGATATCCACTTGAAATTTTGTCACATGTACTGTATATTTATTGYGCCATTTTGGTTGCCATCTTGGATTTCCACAAATGCAAAAAAGAGAATGTAAAATCAACATATTAACTTAACTAGACATTGTGCAGAGGTAAATGACCCCAGTTTTGGTTCCATTTTGGCATGAGGAATTAATGGARATGGGTAGTGACATGACTGGAGGATTCATGAAGCATTGTCACCCAAATAAATGGAAAAATGTAGGAAAATATAGGTGGAATTGGGCCTTGGAGAAAAGAAAACCACCCCAAAATTATTTATTCATCAGTTAGAAAGTCTTCATAATCGATATCTTGCTCTTCAATGTCRTCCTCATCTATATCCTCTACTATTTCCTCCAGCAAGTCAATCAGTGTTAGWAGGGCAGATTGGGCCATATGACCACACTGGCYCCAGGGTACGATCTTCACTCAGCYCTGGCCARGATCRTAGTATGGTAGCTCTTTTGTATATGGYCAGATGGGGGTCGACTTGATTAACATGTGGGACCAGCTTCTCCCTGCAGRGAGGCAGTCATGAGAGGTCCACCTTCAGTTTTGTGGTGATGGTCTCATCCTCCCAGAKCATCTTTCTGAGAATGAWGCTKCTTRTGYTGTTCACAGATTTCTCCTGATMGTGKCCATACATYAGACATGTGAAGGCYTYGATGTGCTTGAACWCTTCTGGTTCCACAGACCACTCCTCATCAAGTTTTCTGAGGAGATGAATAATTATAGTATCGCAAAGTCATATTGCATCAATACATAGGGCCAGCAGGTATTTATTGCCATGACATGCTTCCATAAATCTTAATTAAAACATTAATCTGTAAGCTGCATGGTACTTGGGATATCTCTGCAGCCTTTTTTAGAAGCCCAACCTTCCCTTTTCCTTTAAAGGTGCTTGTAACATCTTCCCCTGTGAAGAAATACAGGCCCAGAAGTGTTGTACACAACAACCCCGCCCTCCACCCAGGATTTGGCCAGTTTGTTGACATTTATGATTTTCCTGTGCTTCCTGGCCCCAATGTCTATGCAGATAATAAGGCTTAAAGATGAATTAAACATACAGTGGGGAAAAAGTATTTAGTCAGCTACCAATTGTGCAACGTCTCCCTCTTAATATGGGAGAGGTCTGTGATTGACATCATAGTTAGACCTCAACTATGAGAGACAAAATGAAAAAAACATATCTAGAAAATCGCATTGTCTGATTTTTTTAAAAGAATTTATTTGCAAATTATGGCGGAAAATAAGTATTTGATCAACAAMAAACAAGCAAGATTTCTGTCTCTCACAGATCTGTAACTTCTTCTTTAAGAGACTCCTCTGTCCTCCTCACATTACCTGTAGTAATGGCGCCTGTTTGAACTTATCAGTAAAGAAGACACCTGTTCCCAACCTTAAATGGTCACACTCCAAACTCCACTATGGTGAAGACCAAAGAGCTGTGTAAGACACCAGAAACAAAACTGTAGACCTGCACCAGGCTGGGAAGACTGAATCTGCAATAGGCAAGCAGCTTGGTGTGAAGAAATCWACTGTGGGAGCRATAATYAGAAAATGKAAKACMTACAAGACCACTGATAATCTCCCTTGATCAGAGGCTCCACACAAGATCTTACCCTGTGGGGTCAAAATGGTCACAAGWATGGTGAGCAAAAATCCCAGAACCACATCGGGGACCTGGTGAATGACCTGCAGAAGTCCCAGCCTTCTGGTGGTGTAAGTAACACTACACCACTAGAAGGCTGGGACTAACATAACAAAGGCTACCATCAGTAACACACTACACCGCCAGGAGGCTGGGACTAATGTAACAAAGGCTACCATCAGTAACGCACTACGCCACCAAGGACTCAGATCCTGCAGTGCCAGATGTTTCCCCCTGCTTAAGCCAGTCCATATCCAGGCACGTCTGAAGTTTGCTAGAGAGCATTTGGATGTTCCAGAAGAGTATTGGGAGAATGTCATATGGTCAGATGAAACCAAAGTAGAACTGTTTGTAGAAACAACTCGTCATGTTTGGAGGAGAGTGAATGCTGAGTTGCATCTAAAAAAACACCATACTTGCTATGAAGCACGGGGGTGGCAGCATCATGCTTTGGCACTGTTTCTCTGCAAAGGGACCAGGACAACTGATCCGTGTACATGAAAGAATGAATGGGGCCATGTATCGTGTTATTTAGAGTGCAAATCTTCCATCAGCAAGAGCATTGAAGATGAAACGTGGCTGGGTCTTTCACCATGACAACTATCCCAAGCACACCACCAGGGCAACAAAGGAGTGGCTTTGTAAGAAACATTTCAAGGTCCTGGAGTGGCCTAGCCAGTCTCCAGATCTCAACCCCATAGAAAACCTTTGGAGGGAGTTGAAAGTCTGTGTCGTGCAGCAACAGCCCCAAAACATCATGCTCAAGAGATCTGCATGGAGGAATCCAGTTTTCACCTCCTGTATCATGACTGAGTACTCGGTGAAATGCTGGTTGTTTGGGGTGAAGTAGTCAATGGTAGATCTTCAGGGGGTTTGTCACCAGTAACTGATACAAAGCCAGCAAACCTTGCAACAAGTTGCTTTAATCCACTACTCCCCACCACTTGGACAAGTAACCAGACACGATACTCTTGGATGCAGTTTGAGTAGAACTTTGTTGTTTGTGGAATTAAAAACTGCTTCTTCAGGTAAAGGTGCTTTATTTGTCATCAGTGCATGTTCACATGCAAGGATGAAATTTGTGTTCTGCATTTGACCCATCACACATGAGAAACACTAAAGTGRAGCAGCAGGCAGCTACAATATGTGAGTGCTGGGGAACAGTTGGTGATTGGGTCTCTTGCTCAAGGACACCACCACATGTGGGCATGGCGGGGAGTCGAACCTCTGACTTTCTGGTCCAAAGTCACCTCTACCACTACACCACAGCTGCCCTCAACTTGGGTCCAATTCAGTTATAGATACAGAAGGGGTTTAGGGGTTTCAGGTGTATCTACCTTCAAAGAACATGTCTTTTTCCATTCATAGAGAGGAAACTTTATTTGATTTTCCAGAGAGTTGGGAACATCAAATCCAGTTTTCACCTCCTGTATCATGACCCCACTAGTCCAGTTACCCACATTGGAGCCATGGATGTTTGTACTTATTTTGTTCAGATTGTCCCACTCAAGATGAAACCCATTGTTGCCCTCACCAGTAATAATTTGTGGACTGAGAGAATAGAAAATCCCATCTCTCCTGGATTTCTTTTTTGCTGGATCAAACTGTTTATACTCACCATTATTTTCTTTCTTGTGTTTCTTTGGCATTATTAGCAATAATCAGCCTATATTTATAGAAACTTTTAACATCAATTATTTTTCAACATTTCAAACTGACGAAAATTAAATAACTGTCTAAACCTTTATGCCAATGCCTACAACAAATTGCCAGAATAATTTAAAGGGTGTAGTTTAGAATTTGATAGTTTGTGCTTAGAACCAGTGCTAATGCTAGCTTGTAAATTTGCTAATGTGTGTCGACATCCAAGATGGCTGACAAAATCAAATCCTGGCAAATTGTTTTTAAGTAAAAAATATGTATAGCCTATAAACCATTTTGTAGTTAGAAATTATCGCAATTGCCATACATGAAGCGGGCCGACTTGACACGTCATCGAGATAAGCTGAGATTGCCATGGAAATGCCACTGTAAATGCACGACTATTGATTTTACAAAATTTTTCCATTTATTTGGCTGACAATGCTTCATAAATCCTCCAGTCATGTCACTACCCATCTCCATTAATACCTCATGCCAAAATGGAACCAAAACTGGGGTCATTTGCCTCTGCACAATGTCTAGTTAAGTCAATATGTTGATATAACATTCTCTTTTTTGCGTTTGTGGAAATCCAGGTCTGCAACCAAAATGGCACAATAAACATACATGTGACAAAATTTCAAGTGGATATCATCAACTTGTGTTTACTATGCATGTTGAAGATTATAAATATACAAAGCTTTGAAAAAAATATCAATAGGGTGTACAGGGGAGAAATTTCTGCGATTCAGTTTAGGCAAATTTTAGCATTTTTTTAGTGTTTACTCCAGCTATTATGCATCAAACATGATCTAATCATAGGAATCTTTTTTTCACCAAATTACCCGTGAAAAGACAAAAATAAAATGGGGTGAATGGTGTCTGTCGGATGTATAGTTTAGGAACTATGTTGCTTTAAAGTTTTCATTATTCACAATGGAAAATCCAGGTCGGCCATTAAAGATGGTCAATAGAAACATATGTGGGACAATAATTTGCTGTGGGGCCAACACAATCCATTTACTAGACACCTTAAGGAGTACAAAAAGTTAGGTTAAAAAATATCTTTCAGGTGCATGGGACCCCCCCTTCCTACTAGACTATTTCTAGTTTATACCTTAAAGCCAGCAGAAGACACTCGACTGAAAATGTGAACAGTAAATTTAGAATCAATTATCTTATGTACAGAAGAAGTTGGTTAAAACTGCGCCTGCAGGAAATCTGAGGGTTATGGCAGCATAACTTCAGATATGATTGGTTTTCTATCTTTCCCTGCATTCATATACTGCTAGAAATCCAACTACCAGTAATTTGGATCCTCTAACATTAGGGTAGCTGTGTTTCCATTAAGGTTTTTTATGTGCTTTTKGAAGTATTGCATTAGAAAAGGTTTATTCGMTACAAACCAGTAGATGGAAACACACCWAATTCRCATTTCATTTACATATATGCTACAGTTTGTGGAGATTTTAGCTGCCTTTTGGACCAATCACCATATTTTATCTTAAGCTAAGCTAACAACATTCTCCTGAAAGACATAATAACCACAAGTTTTCCTGTTTTATACAGAATTACAGCTGTGGTTGAACTTTAATGAGCAGCTAACAGCCGTAGCACATCCTGCACATTTGAATGAGACTTTTAGTTTCAGGCTGTACTTCTTTTTGATTTTAGCTTTGTACTGATGTGTTGAAGTTGTGTGTAGTTCAGCATTTGAAGAGATTATGCAGCTTGCTGCTATATATTTATTGGTGTAAGAAAATTGAGAGCTCATTAAAACTTCATCTGGTAAAAACGTTTACATGATCTGAGCATTTCTACAGCTTCCACTGCATCTCATCTCATTTGTCAGTGCTGCAGTTTACTGTCACTGTTCTGTATTCTGTAGCCATTTAAAAATATATATATTTTCCAACTTTTTCTTTAATTCCTTGGTTGTTCTTGAATTTACTTTTCTGTCGGTCTTTCCTCCTAAAACACTTTCTTTTGACACAAACCTCTTCTTCTACTCTTGGTCCTCTCATACCAGGAGCCTCAGACTACTGTTATCCACAATCCAGCTGATGGAAACAAGGTATACAGCTGATCAGACGCTGATCTGAAGCTGTAGTCATAGCTGCACCATTTAGTGTAGCGCTTTAATGTTCTGCTTATCATGTTGGCGATCCATTGGTGGTTGTTAAAATGTAACKTCATGTGAGAAAACAAGGACTACAGATTCTGTACTGTGACTTTTGCATGCCACTCTCCTCTTAACATTGGTTATGTGTTTCAAGTATTGTACGTTATTTGCTAATTATGACCATTGTTACAATGGTGTAATTTCATTGTCATTCAGCTAACCAGAGTTTAAATTCTTTTTAAAGAACCATTCTTACATTAGTTTTTCAATTATGAGACAAACTAATGTGCATGCTTTTGGAACAAAAAAAGGTCCTCTTCACACAGGATGATGGCCCATTGGTCATTTCACATTTAGACAACTTCCTTCAGTTGAAGGTTACCTTCCTACTGCTGTGCTCTTGGTGCTCAACAAATAATGTTTTCCTGCTATTTTGATGTCCTAGATGAGATTTCTTGTGCCCATGCCACACTACATGCCCTCTGTGGCACAACTTTCAAAATACACCTGTGTGTAGCTTTGTGCTACATCATGGCACAAGGCTACAGCCACAAGAAGGACATGTGCACTAGTAGTTTCCATCTCCATGGTGAAGCCCTTTAGATTCTCTACTATCACGCCACACAGGTTCCATGTCATGAATACCCTGCCACYGTTATAACTGTCTCCAACAACCTCACAATGAAAGTGTGGAGCATACTGAAAACCTTCCCTGTCCTGTCACACTTTAGTGACTTTATTATGCTCCTGAAGACCTGATCATGGTTCTGCAAGGACTCAGTGTTCTGACTGATTTGTCATTGTGAGATGATCCCGTGTGAAGGGGACCTGAAAACCATGCAATGACATGGATACCAAAACTGTTCCAAGTCCAGTCCTCTTCAGAACCACCCTGTTGCATCTACAGTGTGTGGATGCTTTGCTTGTTCAGACGTATGGATCTTCATTGTTGTGTATAATCCATGAAATGATGYTGGGACACGTGCATGTTTGTTTTATGCTTTGTGCTACACAGTGATGTTGTAGGTCATAGTGTAGCAGACTGTAAGTGTTCTGTGCGAAGTAAGTCATGTAGACATTAGCATAAGGCTCTGCAGCCATGTGCTTAATTGTACCTCTGCAATATTCTGCTTCTGTACCCAATTCACAAACGGTGAGATCTTCATTGTGCACTTCATATTTTCTTCAACTTTAARCAGTGTATGGCTAAAGATGTACAAATCTAGTAGAGAACAGTTGAACTATCACTGTTGGAGGATGTTTATTTCACCTGATGTACTATCAGACTTTGTCACCAACAGTGATGCTTATAACAACGCACTGAAAGAGCGTGGAGTGGATGAAGCTCTGTGGAAGTCTGGTGTCTATCCTCATTGGTTCTGTTTCAACAGACCTGGTTTTCTCACGTGTCCTGATTTGTTCTTTCACAGGAGTCCAGTGAGAGTGCCAACACTACCATTGAGGATGAGGATGTGAGAGGTAAGGACTTTCAGACCAAATCTAACCACTTTCCTGTCAGCTGGGGGATCTTAAYCCCCTCATTCACACAATCCAAGGTTTATTTTTGCCTTAAGCACCTGTGTGTTGCATGATTAAATGGTTTTAAGTTGAGRCTTAAGGACAAGGCTTACAGTAGTGTTCCTCTAGACATTTTCTCAGATTGCTCCTTCTGGTTTTAAGCCATGACCTTCATCGTGTACTGGAGCAGTTGAGCGTGAAGCTCCTGGGGGGGTTCGCCAGTGAATCTGAGACCATGGTTCTCAACTGGGACAAGGTGAAAKGCTCTTTCTAGGTCAAGGATAAAAGGGTGGTTTTTGCTTCGAGTAGCAAAGTTTCTGTGAGCTTTCTTCATGAGTGATGATAGGATAGGGAGAGAGGAGATGGATGGATGGATGGATATATATGTGCTTCTGAGGGTTGTTGTGGTGGAGGAGGAGCTGAGCTGAAAGCTGAAGCTTGACTGCAGACATGAGGTGTGGATCAGGATCAAAAGAACTGATGGARATGATGTTCCACCATCCAGAGGCAGCTCAGTAGAACCATGGTGTGTCTGCAGTCAGCTTGGGGTTGGGGGGTGTTGTTGTCAGAGAATGCCTCCTTCCTGGGCGTAAGTCAGTGAGAGACCTTGAGGTAGAGCTGGGCAATAACCCAATGTTTATTGGCATATATTTATAATCAATATAAATAATAATATAAAAGAAAATTTGTCAAGCAGAATGTTATCACTGAACCATAGAGTTAAATAACCCGAGCCCTGCCTATCCCCTCCAATGTTGGCATCTGTGTCAACATGGAGGAGCAAAAACGGCGACCGAACAGGGCATTGGCTCACAGTCGACATAGCAACTGTTAGATTAACAGCAACTAGATCTGTCTCACATTATCTGTAGTATTTTTTATTATAAATTATTATAATTCCTATTTTTAATTCATTGAACAATCATGTAAAACAGCTAGACAATATATCATTTATTTGTAACAAAGATCTAAACCAGACCTGATGTCGGTCAGTAACTTATACTAGTTACTAGTCGAAGTATAATTCTCAACTACCTACAGTAGATAGATTATACACTCTTATATATCCAACCACAATTCCAATGAAGTTGGGRTGTTTAAAACAAATAACTGAAGTAGGTTGAAAAAGATTTGAATCATTATTCTGTTTKTAAGTACACTATGAAGACTAAAAAATGTAATGTTCAAACAGAAGCTGTTGTTTTTGTTTGTTTTTACAAGTATTCACATACAGTATTGCGTTAGTGTCCATGGCATGGGTAACTGTCACATCTGTGAAGGCACCATTAATGCTGAAAGCTACATCCAGGTTTTGGAGCAAGACAATGACAAGACGCTGTCGTAAGAGTGCAGGWACTAGACTGGYCTGCCTCCACACCTGTCTCCCACTGAAAAAGTGTGGAGCGTTATGAAGAGACCCCCGGATTGTTGAGCAACTGAARTTWTTCATCAAGCAAGAAAAGAAAGAATTCAGCTACAAAGCTTCAACAATCAGTGTCCTCAGTTCACAAACACTTACTGAGTGTTGTTAAAAGGAAAGCTGATGGAACACAGTGGGAAACATGACTCTGTCCCTGATTGATTAGAACATGTTGCAGTAAGTGAAGATTTGCAATAAAGTTTATCTGTTTGAACATTAAAAATCTGTGTGTGTCAACCCCTTCAGGTGTACCTACTGTATATAATAACCTTTAAAATCCTGATATCTACATTGAAGATGGAATTAAAAAATTAACTTGAAGCCTCTTTCAGGTGTGTACTTACTGTAATGCTAACAAATTGATCAAATATAACTTATTTGTAACAGACAAACATTTCATAAGTTGGCATAATTTGTTTAAAACATTAGTGTGACAGGACCTTTAGTAAAACAAAACACCCTATTTTTTTATCTGCACACTGGTAACATGTCCTGCCGCTAATAAATTTATTTTTGCTTTTGCTCAGTGCATTGTTTATTAAAACAGATGTTACAGAAACTCAGACCAACCTCTGAAGTTTTGCCAAAGTATTTCTTTAATAACAAATTTTTTTACTTTAGACATGACATTGAGACACGTGTTCATGTCTCCACATGTTGTTCAGAATTTTCACCCATTAAAGAACGTGGCAGTGCTCTTTAAAATAACCATCATAGATTGTGAGCTTGTTGCTGCTTCCTTAACCACAGAGCAAGGCACTAAATAGTTTTACAGTACACTGATCTACTTGTAGGAGTCACCTGTATGTGCTGAAGATTTGTTTGTTTTTTTTTAGAATGGACCCTAATTTAAATTATTACTTACATTTAGTGATAAATGTTTATTGTTTTGTTTTCGAGCTGTTCAGCCGTTTATTAAAGCTCAGGATTAGTTTCATCTGTGATACGAGTCTGCCACCTGCTGACAGGTAATGTTAGTCTTCTAACAACACTGGCAGACCACTGTTGTCTTTTAGTAAAAGTCAAACCTGAGAAGTACTGGATGTTTGTGCCACAACTTGTTTTCCCCTCTTTTTAAAATAACTATTCAGCTAAATGAACTAAAATTAAACAGGTGATGTAAAAAAAGTAATTCAGCTCCATCTCAAGTACACAAAAAGTGGGGTTAGTAATTATGCTGAACTTTAGTGCAAACRACCCTTTTTCATAGCAAACACAGTTGGAGTTTTAATTCTGACAGGACTGACAGACAAACAGTGGATTACTTTCTTTTCAATAAACTTTTATAGTGGTTCATGAAAACAGGATTTATAAACCTTTAAATCATGGAATTCTGATTGTATTTGTGTAGGAAGTCTAACTACAGATAATTGCCATCAATCAAAGCATTAACTTGTCCTGCAGTTGGTTCAGATGATTCCTGAAGGTCTGAGGTCCGCTTCCACCTGTTTGACCTGGTTCAGAGTCAGGCTGCGACCCTCGCCTCTGGATGAGAAGGATTTTTWAAAAACATTCTTAAAGACAAGAGGTTGAAGATCATCCTCCAGATGGCTGCTTTATTAGTTTCAAAGCTCAGCTGTTTACTTTAGTCTTGACTGGTTCAGATTAGCTGTTAGCTCATCAGTCCTGTCAAAATTGAATTCTACCTCAGTTCACAAGGCTCTTTACAAAAGGTTTTTTATAACTTTTCTGCAGAACTTCTCTCTAAAATGATCCAAATATCCAGTTAATCTGCATGCTTTGTGATTTCTTTGTAGCTGACAAGATAAAAGCTTTAAACACATTCATCACATTTCATGTATTCATTTCATGTTGATCTTTTGTCCGTCTCATTTGTTTCTCATTCCTGCTGCATATCCACCTTCATCTTCTCATCCCATTACTTTTCATCCCGTCACTTCTTATCCCCTCATTCTGTCACTTCTCATCCTCTCATCCTGTCACTTATCCTTTCATTCCGTCCCTTCGCATCTCATCACTTCGCATCCTGTCACTTTTCATTCCCTCATCTCGCCACTTCTCATCCCGTCGCTTCTCGTTCCCTGATCCCATCAAATCTCATCCCATTACCTCATTCCATCACTTCTCATCCCCTTATTCAATCACTTCTCATCCCAATCACCTCATCTCATCAATTTTCATCCTCTCATCCCCTCATTCTGTCTCTTCTCATCCTCTCACCCCATCACTTCACATCTCGTCACTTCGAATCCTGTCACATTTCATTCCCTCATCCCGCCACTTCTCATACCCTCATCCCATTACCTCTCATCCCGTCATTTCTTATCCTCACTTCTCATCCCCTCATTCTGTCACCTCTCATCCCCTCATTTGGTCACTTCTCATCCTCTCATCCCAATCACCTCATCTCATCAATTTTCATCCTTTCATCCCCTCATCCTGTCACTTCTCATCCCTTCATTCCCTCACTTCTCTTCCTTTCATCCCATCACCTCATCATCCTCTCACCTCATCATCCCATCACTTCTCATCCCATCACCTCGTCATCCCATCACCTCATCATCCTCTCACCTCATCATCCCATCACTTCTCATCCCATCACCTCGTCATCCCATCACTTCTCATC